TGAATCATCTTCTTTAGGCTGTCATAGAAGATCATCTGCCTTCATCTTACCCCATCCCTAGCATCCTCTTCAGTCACACCAACCCTCTGCTTGTCCTTCCTCACTACACTCTCTGAATCTCCTCTGTGGTTTCCCTGCTGCCTGGCAGCTCATATTCAGCGTCAGTTCATTGAATATATCCACTAAACTTCTGTGAATGTCCAAACCATCTCAACATTGCCCCTCTAACTTTGTCTCCAAACCACTTAACTTGAGTCATCCTGGTCACTCCCAACAGAAATCTTAGCATTTTCGGCTTTGCTTCTAGTCTTTTTGTTAGTGTCACTGTCACAGCAATTGTCACCACCATCTTGTAGACCTTGCCTTCTACTTCTATCCTTCATCCAAATCACCCTGAACTCATCTTCAGCCCAACATGGCAAAGCACAAGACATTCTTACCAATTGACTGCTGCATGCATCAGAATATGCCCACAACACACAGGATCCCAAGGTTATGCTGCCAGAAATCACAGGACACCCTCAAAAGACCATGCTCCCAAAGAGGTGATTTCAATGTTGCGACTGATCAATACAGTTACGTCCATAAGTCACAAGACAACCAAACAATTTTTTGCTATTTTCAGTCTTTACACAGTAGACCAAGCAAGACAGGTGTGAAAGAAGACTTTCAACTTTAATTCAGAGTTTAACAAAAATAAATATATACTGAGGTAACAGTTACAGAGTTTTATAAACAGTCTTTCATTTTTTACAGTATAAAAGTAGTTGGACAATTAACTTAAAGTTTCATGGAAACGTGAAGCCTGTTTTTTCATTATTAAATCAAGCACATAAGAGTTTCAAAGTGTTCAGCTTGCATTTGGTTCCTGTTCACCGGAACTTTCAGTCTAGGAAATCGATGCAAGTGAAGAAGGCCATCAAAAGGCTGAAAATTCAAGACACACTTATTTTCTTGATTAAGAAAAAGAACTTCACATCAACTACCCAAGTCAGGAACATTCTCAAGGAGTGTTCTTTTAGAGATGCACTATTTTCAACTCTATAATAACTCAAGAGATAAATGTAATGACATTTATAGCAAGGTGCAAGCGACCGGTTACACAAAAAAAAATAGGAAGACCAGATTAAACTTCTAAAAAAAGAAGAAAAAAACTTAAAGAGTCTGCACAGTTTTGAAAAAGATGGTGATAGAGGGTTATGCTATGTTTACTGCAAAAGAAACCCAAGGGTTTCTCAAGATGAAAAACTAAAATGAAAAAAAAAAAAAGGTTCAAGCCAGTCTGCCCAAGTCAGTCACATGATCACAATCCAGTCCAGCAGAGAATCATTTTCGGTTACTGAAGACAAACTTTACGGCACAAAGACTCAAACAGAAACTTGAGGTTGCTGAAGTAAGAGCTTAGTCGAGCACCTCAAGGCAGGAAAAAGCATAATTTCATTGACTGCAAAGGACTTCCATCCAAGGTTTAAAAACAAGTTGTACTTAAAATTGTTTGTTAAATGAGTTTCTAGCCTCTGAAAATACAGGACTATGTCCAATATGTTCAAATGCTTAAGGACATAACCAACAAACACTCTTGTTTGTTTTTGTATGACTACAGGTAAAGCCAGTCAGGTAACTCAAAGCTGAAAGGTAAGGCATCTCACTACAATCCGGAAGTATTGTTAAATGGAAAATATGTAAATGTAGAAACTGGTTTGGTAAGGTAGGCCAATTATGGCACATACCTTCCAATAACCAGCTATCATCTGGCTTTTCATTTAGTTCATTCACAATCATTAAAACTAAAATCTTTTTTTTTTTTTTGCCTTTAGAAGTAATTAATTAAATTATGTTTAATGTCCAAAACGCTATAAATAGTTGCATAGCACTTTATCTCATGGTGAGCTCAGAAGTTTGCATTAGCACTTAGCAAGATCCAGTAAAACACACAGCCTGGCTCATCTATCTAGAGCAGACTGCTAATCCCCAGAGTCTGTTACTAGGACACAGCAAAGTGTCGACTGTTTGTCTACACACAGTTGCTGCAGACTAAAGATTAAGGACTCTATATATGTCATAGACACTACTGATTCTGACCCAGTTATGCCTCCATACTATCAAAGCTGTTTGAATCATATTATTAAGCTGTAGCATGAATCAGACTACCACATTTTTAGAACTATACAGATTATTTTAACTATGACAGACATATAACATAGCAAGAATTGTTATATTGTGTTTCATATTCATTGAGAGGGTTGATGTTTATAAATTCAATTCTCCATATTGTTTATCCTGAAAAAGAAATTCAGTAATTGCTTGAGATTTTTCGTCAGTATCTATGTCTTTGCAAGCTTAAAGTAGAAATAAATTATGGGACATCATTCTTTACTGTCAAAATTAGAAGAGATGACCCAGATTTTAAGTCGGTTAAGTAAACAGGGCTGGACATAATTTTTAAAGCAGACTATGTAAAAATGTAGGAGAAGCAAAAACTCAGTGCATAATTCAGGTTTAAATTATTTTAAAGGAGTTGCATAAATCTTGACATATTTCACTTAAGAAATCTGGTGGCTAATTCCTTTTAAAATTTCTTGCAAGTATCATTATATCACTCAGAGGCACGCACTCATATACAGCAGGAAGAGGACTATGAGTCAGGTCAGTCATATTATTCAAGCACACAGAAACTCAGTGTCTATAACGAAGAAGTTACTGTGAGGGGGGGAAAAAGGGTCGTGTTTTTTGGCTTTTACCCAATGCTTAAAAGGTTAACATGCTCAGTGGTGCATAGATGAAGGCAATTTAAGTTTGGTGCAGGGGTTAGTGCTGTTTGTTGATAGGGATCTTCCACTGACTATTTGAATACCAAATATGAAACACTTTGACATGGTATTCATTTAATCCAAGTTCATTTGAATTGCTGTAGATTATATTTGTTTTAATGACAGCTGCATAGAACTGTTTGTAAAAGGTGAAGGACATACGTAGCCTTCGAGCAAACCCTCTGACAATACAGTAATCAGACACGACACAATAATGACAAAGAAAAAAAAACAACAGGCAGCAAACTGTGAGAGAGCAGGTGTTTAGCCGATACCAATCCTAGCCAGTTTTTGTTCAGTAACAGGCTTATTATTCTTGTATTCTCACAGCAGTCACAAAGATTGTCAGTGGTTGCTTGGCAACTTGACAATGATGACAAGATTTGACAAAGTCAATGCTCCTTGCCAAGAAATAACGCTCTTTAAAAACACAACTTATCCTTTCTAAAGCATCATTACATAAAGGCATAGATATAATGTCTTCATTTGAGAGATTTAGTGGTGATGACTGATATTTTTACCTCTCTCTTTAAACAAAAGAAAAAGAAAAAAAAACCCTGGGGGAGCTGCTTCCCCATTCCATGTTTTATGCTAAGCTAAACAAAACAAACCATCTCCAATAGTAGTAAACTTTTAATAGACTAATGAAAAGACAGTGAATAAGTATATTTTAAAAATATATTAAAAAAATTAAGCCAATAAACAAAATTACTATATGTTGGTGCATCATATGGTCTCGTACTGTATTGCAGAGCTCTAGATCGAGAATCCAGAGCTTATTATAACCACCTAAAAATAGTGCTGCTGGTTCTAGGTCAGCCTCACATGCACATTTTGTGCTTTTTCAAAAGGCCTGTCTTTTTGATCGTCAAGATTGCTTGAATGTAGGACAAAGTAGACAGTCACTTATTTCAGGGAAGCAACTGGGCTGTGTACACATTCATTTAAATAGTTCTAGCTGATGTATTCTAACAGAATGGAGAAAATGGGTCTTATTCACTAAGAGACACACAGTGCATAAGTATATGCACTGTGTGTAAACTGTATGTATGAGTTTCATGCACAAATCAGGAATTTATCAATATTTTTGTACCCGAATTTGTTCATACTTTATTAACAAACTTCTGACCAGGTGTACCATCTAATGAAGCTGTCTTGGGAAATCTATGGTCTTTAAAATTAATACTACAAGTCCTACTACTGTTATTTTATCATCATCATTATCACCAACACCAACTCCTTTTGAATATTACTTTTTTTTTCAAAAACATCATTAGTTAGAAATGAGCAAAATTACAATTAAATTTTAAAAAAATGAAAGTTGTATTTAAAGAAAACTACATCCAAAAGTGAAAAGGGTATGCTTTGACCTTTTAATTTAAACATATTCCAGTATTTCCATTACAGCTCCAAACATCACTAATGTGCCTTCATAAGCAGCACATACTGCCATCCCCAACCAAAGTTTATCTTACCAACTGTATAAACTGTATTATGAAAAACAACAGCAACAACAAAATGCTTGTATTCAGGTGTTTGTTGCACCAGCTAATAAAGAGTTTAACTCTATGCTCCTTCACTTGTTGCACACGATTATCTGGATGAAAAGAACTGAATAGGCAGGCAGCCAAGTCTTACAAGACCATATGGCCATGTGTTGTGGCGGCATTCGGGCCGTTGTTTCCTTCAGCGTCCCATTGTTTGGTGTCAAAAGGACTGGGGGGGTGGGAGGGGGATTATATGTACACCAGAACATATTCTCTCTTTCAAAACACACACGGAGACACTCCCCCATACATGCGAGTACAAAATCACATTACCAATGTCATTACAACTCCACCCATAATGCATCCGTTTTTAGTCTATTAAAGGTCAGTGCAAAAGTACATACTTAATACAAAATAACAGAAAAAGGGTCTTTTGTAGTCATTTTAAAAAGATTCACCCCAAGTACATGTGTATTTACAGAACAGATCCACTGTGTTTCTCAGTGGAATTCAAGTAAACACAATGAGTTCAAAAATTTTAAAATCTCAGATAATCCAACATTAAAAGCAAACAAGCCACAAAATCAGGTTCTGGTATTAAGAATAATGTGATGACACAGAAATAGATTAGCATCAAGGGTAGAGTTTTTTTAAAAAGCAAAATAATATTCACACAACAGACCAATTCAACAGTACTACTTACATCTTTGCTTAGGTCTTCAGTGGTCCTCAACCAGCTGCGGTTCAGCTCACTCAGCTCGAGAATTGGCTGCACTTTTAGTCGTACTGAATCTCCAGACTGACGAATCATCTCCACAATCTCGTCTCTGTTTTTGTTCTCCACATTAATCCCATTGATTTCTACAAGCTTGTCTCCTGGAACCAGGCCCAGAGCCCGATCCTTAGTCCCAACCCCTGGTTCGGCAAAGTGTACAACACGCCGGCACACCCCACCATCAGACTGCCTGTCTACCATGGTGGTTCTTCGCAAAGAAAAGCCAAAGTCCCCAGTGCTGCGTCGCTGTACCTCAAGTTCTCTTGGATCTGGTACTGGTGGAGAGACAAGTGCAGGCAACTGTAGGTCTGCACCAGGAAAGGTCTTCTCCACAATATCAGGAATCTGAACTGTGATGGTGCCCTTTGAACTCGGGTGTAACTTTGTAGATGGTGTAGTCCAGTTATGGCCAGAAAGCTCTGAAGCATCCAAAGCATTGTCCTTTGGGGTCACCTGAGTTAAGGTAGCTACTTTCCTCTGGCCCACCACTGTATTCACCTTGGCCAGTTCCCCAAATTTAGCTGCCCTCTCCTTCACAGAGCTGCGATTACTTAACAGCTCAATTCCCTTTACATCTTCAGAGGTGCTTGCACTTATTTGCCCCACAGTGTTGTGATGACGCTCAGCATCAACGTCTGTCAGGTAGAGTTCCGTGTTACTGGCCACCTTAATTGGGATAGGGCTAGAAATCTCCAACTTGCTCCTAGATTCCTTCTTGGAGTTTCCTCGAGTAAGTGGGAATAAGCCTCTACGTATGCTCATCTCTTCTAGACTCTTTAACTCAGACTGAGACATACGTTCTTTCTTTTCTCTTTTGTCTTTCTTTTCCTTCTTGCTCAAATCCCTTTCCTTCTTGCTCAAATCCTTTTCCTTGTCCTTGTCTTTTTTCATTAAGTGAAACATGATTAAACTATTCTGTAGTTATTTAGCAACTGATTAATTTATCATGAGAACCTTAAATTATTAGAAAAAGAGGCTGATGACAGCAGCTGAAAACATCAACTCTGGGTTTGGATCTCTCTTAGTGATATCTGTAGAGAAAAGAAACAAGAGGTGAACACAGACTAGCTTTGATGAAAGCATAACAGAGTGCAAGAACCTTGTGTTTGTCAGAGTTTAACTAAGTAATTGGCAAAAAGATTCAGTCAGTAATTAATCATAAGTATGACATACACATGACTAGCACATCTGTGAAAGCACAGATAATGCTGAATGGTAGAAAGGCATATACAGAAAGGCTGAAAGTCTGGTGGTGCTGTGGTTTGTGGTTTATGCCTAAGAGCAAGAAGTTCCTGGGTTCAAATCCACACTTTCTCTGTAGAGTTTTAGCTGTAGGTGTGTCTGTGAATGGCTGTCTGGCTCTGTATTAGTTCTGCAATACATTAACAACCCCACAGTGGACGACTCAATGGATGGATGTACGTACAGCTGTAAGTGTCAGGGAAGTCTTTCTTTATTTCAACAAGACAATGACAAGCCCAATTCTGCAGACATTACAACAGCATACCTCTGTGGTAAGAGTTTAGCTGCTAAACTGGACTGGCTGCACTCCACACCTATCCAAAAACAACACCACTGAAAATATTTAACACATTATACAATGAAAAGGAAGATTTATACTGTTGTACAGCTGAAGTCATATCAAAAAAAAATATTAAAGCTGGTCTGATCTTCTCAGTTCCTAAACCATTGCAGAAACCACAGATAAATAGGAACTGCTGTGGTCCTGACCTGACTTGTTGAATTATGTTGCTGGCATCAAATTAAAGACCACTAGATTTAATAAAATAAAATAAAAATAAAAAATGAAAATAAAACATCTCAATTTTAACAACTCATGTATTATCTTTGTACCATTTTCAGTTACAGAGTTACAAAGTTCACATGGTTTGCAAATCATGTCATTCTGTTTTTATTTACATTTCACATGACCTCTGACCTTCTTGAGAAAAACATAATCCACATTTAAAACTTGGATTTGAAGTCCTTTCTACACCTTGGGGTTAAAAACATTTTTAAAAAAAAAACGTTATCAAACTGCAGAGCAGTATCACTATTTTTATTTCAGTATCAACCTATTATCTAATTCAGTTCAATAGAAAAGTAGCCTGTATATATTTGGGTGTGTATAGGAACTGGTATCCCCCGCTGTAGTATCAACAAACGAAACATGCACCCTAGATAAGGAATGTGATCTTATCTAAAACTTATCTTTGACACACCTCAATCTATCCTACATAATAACATACAGTGTTTTAAAGAGCGTAGCTTTCCTGCTCTCAGATACTCAGCATCATCACTAAATGATTGAAAACTGAAGCTATGTGCATGGGAGCCTCCACTAAGCTCCATATGTATAACGAGAAGCCATGCTGAACAGTAAACTGTAAATTCAAACCTAATCCAAGCTAAATCACATGCTCTTAGAAGAAAGCTATGAAATGTCCGAAAGCAACTCAGTTTATCTTACAGTTAACATTTAGGTATGCATTTTCGTCGTATTTTATTACTGGAAAGCGCAGTTTGGTCTGTTGTTATTAGTTTTTCGTTTTCTTGAACTTTAAACACTACGCATAGGTTGTCGACACGGCTAGTCCTGAGCTTGGCCATAATGCTCTCCCTTTAAGCTGCTTTGCCCTCATTCTTTAGCAGTGATAAAGAGTGTACTAATGTCACTCACGATAAACGATACAAATTAAGTAACACTGTAACATATGACAATTCCTACCTGTAATTGCCTAAACATGACAGCGTTGTAGTCTTACTACAGGTTTTCGGCATTTTCCAATGAATTGTCAGCAGGTGCGACAAATGCTTTTGTGATGCTTTCAAATGCTTGCAGTAAGCTCCGACTTCTGATTACTTTGACATAAGCGACCTGCGGGGAAGCAGCTATCCTCGTAAAGAAATAAACACAAAAAACTTAGAAAATGATGTCGTACATCAGATGATTAATTCATTTTCCCCCAAACAGCTCAATAGTTTTAATAAACTTAAGTAGTCTCCTCATTACACTTTAAAATATATATTATAAAGAGGGAAAGCTGAAAAACAACCTCTCTCTTAATGGTCTTAATTGGAAACATGGGGGGGATTAGTCCTCAATGATAGTAGGACGATTTAGATGTCCAAAATGTAGGCTAACGCTCTAAATTTTAATAAATCCAACAGCACATGAAAGCTCCGGAAGACTACACTGGACAGCAGTGACCCCTCCTGGTCTTTATTTTAACCATACAAAGGATGTAAGCACAGATATTTAGTTCCAAGCTGCCCAGTTTTTCGTAGAGAAAAACTTATATTGTTAACATGTTGATTTCACATTGGATAACACATAAAGTGTTTTGCAGCTAATGAGTTACAGTCCAGTGACATTGGAGTTACAGTCACTGACATACAGACTTTAAACCCAAACAGAATCTGAGTTGTGGTGAATGGTTATTTTAAACATTATTTACCTATTTATATGGAATTCTTTAGGATAATTCCTCCTACAACAATGATGAGTTGATTACAGCATATGTTAGAACTCAATTTGCAAGATCAATTGCATAAAATGTTTCACCTCATTTGCATCATTTCTTCCTTCTCCCAGCAGTTTCAATATACACATACATAATGAACTCCAGATAATGCCATATGTTTTGCTTGTTAAAGCTCATTACACATAGGAAGCTGCAATTCTGAGGAGAGAACCACAATCTAAAATGTATTACCTTAATAGTTTACTCACACTAATCCATTCATTTTAGAAAAAATCATTTTAGACATTTACAACATGCCAAACTTGATTTCCTTTCCATTTTTTTATTACGCTTACTATTTTGATGAAAATATGCATTTACATTTTGGCAAATTCTGGTTTGTCTGAATTTATCCATGGAGTGCCCCCGTGTCTCAAATGAGATGCCCAGTACTTGGCTTCTGATAGTAGTGCTCCTGGCCTGGGGCACGTACCTCTACTGCGAGTTGATGTCGGGATATAAATTTACACTGAAGCAGCTTGGACTGACAGTCAACATAAAGTTTTGTTTTCAGCTGAAGTTCATTGTTGGACACTTTTTCTTCATTGGAGCTGGATTAGGGAGATATGAATACCTCCAACTAAAACATTGATTGGACTGTATGAGATTCAAAACTTTCAATATACAGTTGGAAAAAACTGAGAATAGATTACAATGGGGCTCCTTCATTGAACAGTCATTCAGTGATAAGCAGAGTTTAAAGAATGCACTAGAAGGAGTGTGTACAATACTGATTCATGCACAGATCTGTATCCACGTTAACCTTAAGAACAAGCCATTCTCTGGAAGACATTATTACTTTGCTCTTCCATCCATCCATCCACCTTCCACTGCCCAATTCAGCATCACGAGGGTTTTAGAGTCTGTCCCTGTGATCATAGGGTGAGAGACAGGGCACACCCTGAACAGGTTGCCAATTTTTTGTAATACATTTCTTCCAAAATCTCAAAATGAAAAGTGAAAAATCCCCACAGTATCCAGTTATTATTTTCCCAATGTTCATTAGAAAGGTTTTAAGAATGAACTACAATACTTTTTGAACTTTTGAACATTACCAGTCAGTCTGAATATTATTTAACTTGTATGAACAATGAAATTATAAATCTAACAAGGAACATGGAATTGTTGAAGTAGTAAGACCTCCTGTTGCTTTTTAAGGTTTTGTAGCATCACCTACTGGTCTTGCAGAGTCTCTGTACCTTTTTTTTAGTAATGTATGGTTTACCATATATTTTTCACCTATACTGTCTGTCTCTATCTATGAGGACTTCTTGGTCAGCTTCAGTGGAGAATGTTAATGAATTATTCATTTCCAAAGAAAAATGTCATATCAACCTTTTCTTATCACCTGACTAAGATTAAGGAATGAAACCTATCTGACTCACACCACCAGGATAATACAAGGAAACTATGACTCATTCCCTGTCAGTTACCACTGAGTCCCTAATATATTACCATTCCTTATACAGTTGGATGGTGAATGACAATTGACATTTGGATGACAGTTAAGGATTGCACTGCATTGTGCGCGTGCGTGCGTGTGTGTGTATGTGTGAATTGTAAATAAAGGATGAAAGCCCTTTTTTAGAAAGCGATAATTTTCATTTTCCAAGAGCTTATATAAAAATGTTGTTTTTGTTTAATGTACAAGTTATCTCACGCAAAAAAAAAACAGCATCTGCAGGACTTTATCTATTCAGAAGCATATCTGAGGCTTGCATCATTACCTCGAGGTTGTGGTAAATACTAATAGCCAAATTCTGCAGGTAATGATGAAAGATGGAACTAGAATCAATTTTAACCCAAGTGTACATGACGTAAAAAGTAAATTTAGGACATTATGGCTCTGCCTTTTCATTCATCCCTATTACATGAATGAAAATAAACTCGCACTCAAATTACTTCTCTAAAATGAACCACTTGGCACAGTGGGAAAGACGACCGCCCAGAACAACACGCTAGCATCTTTTTTTTCCCTTTTAAAAAGGACGAAACGTTACTGAAACGCAATCATTTCCCAGCCACATGCGACAATCTAATATAACAAATTCCCCTCACAGCATCAGCAAATACCATCCAGGGGGGTGTTTTAAAAATCCAACGCCACCAGATTACTATCGTAATAACACGGGAACAATTCATACAATCTCTTGTGAATTTGAATTCAACATACATCGTAAGTTGCTATTCTTGTTAGTGATTAATTCATATTTCACGAGTTATGCGTACGAATTCATTTCAAAATACGAAATTTAATGAACCCCGCCAAATCCTGCGCAAAGTGGTTCAGCCCTTGAGGTCACCGGAAGTTGTTTAGCTGCCATGTTTGGTTGCTTTGTTGTAGGCTTCTACTAGGTTTCCTACAGAATTAGTAAGTGTGGAAATGGAGCCGAGCTGGAGTACGTTTCTTTTTCAAGTAAGTTGTCTCTTTTGGAGGGAAACCGGAATAGTCGGTAAAACAACCGTAGAATTGCAAACGGTTTCATATCTTAGTGGTAAATCCAGTTTTTAAACGATTAATGTCAAGAACAAGTAACCAAGCAAAACAATGGTATATGAATCCAGGCTTCCAGCTGTGAGGCTTGGGAATGACGCTAGAACAAAAAATCTAATCTCTCCAAGCATTGTTTGAAAAGCGGCATGTTTTCTTACCCCGACGATATTTGGGTATTTGCGTTTAATACTTCGACAGCGTTTGTGATTCCTTGTTTTTTTTAAGTTTGTTTGCCTAGCCGGAGCCAAACATGCGGGATCACTTGGAGTGAAGCAGGAGACGCCACTGCACCGTTACAATCGAGACAGACCTGTTTTTTCCCCCCTTTGACTGAAGGCTTTGATCAGGCGCCGTGGGATAATGAGATGTAACGCTGCGACATGTTTCAGTGTAGCGTAAATAACAGAACACGCATTGTAGATTTGGCAAATCTCTGGTTAAGTGTACACAGAGGTTTTTAGCTGCTGAGATTTACTAACGGCGGTTCTCAAGTCCGCGGTGAACTTTCCGCCTGCTCCAGCCGGTTAGACACTAACTAGCCAAGTAGCTAACGATGTTCGGGCTACCTTAATTACACTCGCTTGCTAATTTAGCTTAATGTGGGCGAGGCTGCCATAATGAGCTTGCAAAACTAACGTTACAAGACTTGACGACCAGCGCTGTGCAGATTCTCTGCTTATTAACTAAGCTATTTATTCTGGTGACCGTGGTGGAAAGGAATTCAAACTATGCACACAACATCAGCTAACACTAGCAGCGAAGAGGCGCATTTGAAATTAGCAACGGCGTTACGAAATGAATAAATGCGTGCTGGGAAGGAAAGCGAGTGCTGCGGTTTAGAGTGATATCTGTCACGGTTTAGTGAATTTCAATATGTGCTAAGAATGAAGGCTATTGTTCACTCGTATTTGTGAGCTTCTCAATCGCATGGCCTTACCTAGGCTACAAGAAATGAGCTCGGAACATGGAGCAAATGAGTTTTGTAAGGATAAAGATTTCATGTTTTACAGTTGAGTCCGTTTTTGTGTAACCCCAATGCAATATAAATATTTGTTTTTTTTGTTTCCATTCCCAATACGCACCATTTTTCCAGGTTTACCACTATTCTGCGGTCTCTTGTGTATTTCCAGTGCTTAAAATTAATTTTTACCTTTGACTCAACACTTTAGTGGGTGTTGCAAAGTTCTCCTCGTGGGAGGAACTTCCCAGTAACTTCAGGATCATTCCCAAAAATTACTTTTCAGTAAACCCTTCAAATCTGCATTTGTAATGTTCACGACTTTATTTTATTCCAGGCTTTAATGATCAGATGAAGGTCTAGAGTTTAACCTGCTGCAGTAGTTGGTGCTGCAGCCTTTGTCTAATAGTAATATATTTTGTGTAATAAATAAATATGTCAATGACAACGGGGAAAAACAGGATATGTGAATAGAAGTGCACAATTTATAGTTTTCATGCTAAAGAGCCACTTCTCTTTTTAAAAGTCTTCTAAAGTGTGGAAAAAAACTGATCATTAATGCTCTGATTAAGCTTTCACTGCTTGGTGTAAGGACATCAATGGCTGCAAAGAATCTGAATAGCTCACTTTGGCAAATAGTTTAAAGAAATCCATCTTAAGTTGTGTTCATTTCACTGCTTTTTGGACACTTTGTTTTTTTCCTGAGTTTCTGATAATTTGCTCTGCTGTCGGAGTGGTCGTTCATTCACATCTTTGTGTACTATTTCTTCATAATTGAAAAGGCAGACAGACAATGTCATTTGTCATGCAGTATCTGGCGTCTAGCCAGAGGCCCT